AAACAGCCACAACTTTGGAGAAGTCATCCAGTTCTCCGTTAGGCCAATATTTGAATCTCATCTGCCAATCATTTAAAACGAAATAAAAGGGGCGTTAAAATGACTTAGATTAGGCGATTATACAAAATCCAACTTATCTCTACAGCCATTCCTTTTAAGACTTGTTTCCCAACTTTTTTAATTTTTCATTCTTGCTCCAGTCGGAAATACATTAATGTGTATCATCTTACGTTTATGAGTAGAATTTTGAGACTACCAGTAAATCAGTTATATGAGATGTATTCATCCAGGTGATGAAGGACTGGTAATTGAATTTTCCCACAATGATATGAGTAGAGCTGACGCATCCATTGCATTTTATACAGCCTTGCTTTCCAAAAAGGTGTTCTTATCTCAGATTAGGTGATCCTGTGAAACCCTATTTATTTTCCTATCCATTCATTTTGAGAGTTGCTTTCCTATTTTTTAAATTTTCATATTATGACTTTAGCACTGAATGCTATCTAAATGAGTGAAACTGACCTCCAGAAATATTCCATCAATATACCGTTTAATTTTGAAGATAAGTCTTCTTGTGATCTCAGTAAGTGCGGGTAGAATAAAATGCTGCCACTGTAACCAGTTTCTTTGAGCCAATTAAATTGAGATGTAAAAGCTAATTCATCTTATTGTGCCCGGTTCAAATACCGTATATTTGGCCAGTAATTATTTTTCCAGTAGACTGTGATTAAGCAGGTCCTTGTAGAAGCCTAATCCAGAACAAAGGTATAAAGATTCCCGGGAAGGTGGCATCTTTCTAAACCTACTTTATTCTCATGCATAAAAGTATATTTTTCTTCATAAGATGTGAACTTTCTATCATTAACTTATATCATGTCTTGTCTTTATTTTTACTAAGTGATCGTTTTCGTTAATCTTTGCAAATATATCTAGGTATATTGTTTTTAAAGATTTCTGTCTTAAATAGCAACAAGCCACATTAGGGAAAATAATATATCTTATTTTCGCAATGTATTAAGGGAAGATAATCGGGAGCATAATTATTGGTTAGACCTTTTAGTCTTATCTTGTTTTTTTATTTCATTCGTGTCCATTTAATTTGCTGTCAATGACAATATTTATTTAGTTTCTAATTGAAATGCTGATAAGTCCAACAACGCACAGCGTGATTGGGCTGCCTCAACAGGCCCAAGACTCGGCTGCCTCAGTCGGCGTTGGAGCCGTATGTCCTGATGCAGCTGTTGCTGGTGGGCCTCAGTTACCCATCTGGGCACAACCGGACCGTTCTAGTGAACAAGCACCTTTAGGTTCTATTGATGACCGAAGCCGTGGGTTATTTTCCCCGACAGATGCTCTGACGCGAGCCTTAGCTGGGTTGCGTAGTCAACATTATCTTCTTGCTGGACAAAATCAGCGTCCCTCAGGTCATGTAGCTGTTGCTGGTCCTGGCGGTCATATGTTTGCTCCAGGTCATGGTGCCGGTTTCGGCCCTGCCGGAGGTGCACCAATCGGCAACGGAGGTGGCTCACAAGCTATACCACCCGAATTCGATCTTCATTTGTTTATCTCACGACGTGAGTATGAAAATGGTCGTTGCCTTCTGATGCGCAACCTTCGTACTATCCCCAGCCTCTGCAGATTGGTAGCTGCCTCAAATTTCTTGCCAATGATCGCCTCGCATCAGCACCACCTACAGACTCAGCACCATCATATGTCTTCTTCATCACTGCAATCGCAGCATTTACAGCAACCTTTGGGGCATCATCATATCCATGCTCACCATGTGGCCCAATCAGCTCCAAATCACCTGCAGCTCCCTGTTCAGCCTGTCAATGCTTATTCTGGAGCTTCTGTTGCGGGGCAGGTTGGCTCCGGTCTCGTCAGGCAACGTCATCGAGCCTCAGTCAGCCACCCCTCGCCTGGCCTCCCCCAATCACCCTAGGCTGCTTTGCCCACCTACTTCTTATCTCTTAAATCTAGCATATCTTCAACCATTTGTATATGACCGGTTTTTATTCTACTATTACCCTCCTGTCTTGCGGCCAATGTTTTGTTCCCATATATTTCTTTACTGATGGTTTACCGATTTCTTATGCTGGTTGCTTCTTTCTGTTAAGCTGACAGCTGTTATCTTCTGTTTATTTTTATTATTCATCATAAGTATATCAGTATTTTGCCAACCATTTTTTTAATTCCTAATAGCTGAACTTTAAGGCCTTGTAAGTTAAAGTGTCTGATTTAAATAGCATATCGTTGGTGTTCACCTGAGTACGAAACCGAAACTTAAAGAATTCAGAATAGCCACACTATAGCTAACTGATGTGGTGGTAACCTGTCTAATGGACTAGCCAAGCAGACCATAGGATGGCTCATTAGCTGTCAAAATCTGGTAAAAGAAGTGATTGCGCTTGCCGCCCGTCACCGTCTTTTGTTAAGTCTATCGGTGACATTTTCTTAAACAATTATTACTGGCTGAAGATATGTAGCACTACGTAGTTCACTATGAATTCACTTGAGTCGCAGGGTGGCGGGCCGAAGAATTGTTTACAATCAGCCCGCCCCCACCCAAATGTAAGTATCTTTCAATAAGTTCCAGTTGATGAAGAACTGATGGTTGGATTTGGCATTGAATTTCGCCCAGCTTTTCTTCTAAAAGATATTATGATCCAGCGTGGACTGCGATTCCGACCTGACTTTGGTCCCATCAGCATTCACGACGCGTTCCCAACACATCACACTGCCACGAATGCTCCTTGATCACAGAATAGAAACTAAATTAACGGAAGATGAGACATCCCTCGTATCACGCTTGTAGTGTGATTGTCGAAAAGACAAATTTGCATTTTGCCATTACATTCTAGCACGTCACCTATATTCCGATAAAGTAGGTCTTTCAAACTACTCGTGAATTTCCAATAAGGTTAGAAAATCCAGTTTCTTTAAACATAACGTAGTAGATTTAAATTTCAAGATACAAGTTTATCTTATTGACAATCCGACCATGAAGGTGATACGAGAGAAGCATGGTTCACTTCGAAATTCATGGGACTAGCGGCAACGAGGTAGCAATCACGTCGAAAATATTCTCCACACCTGGGTTCAATCCACCTTAGTGTTGCTGATAAGCTTCGGGCGAGGGCGAAATTATAGTCCTTAGATGAAGATAACTTCCAAGAAGGAAGGCTAAGCGGAATTAACTGGAAACGCGAAGCGACTCGTGTCATTGAGAGAAGATCCAACTACAGACTCTTCACTATTTGCGATCTAGGGTGACTGAAGCTAGTATTCAACATTTACTGATAGTTTAGAATAGGTGCTTTCCTAGAGTGATCTTTACTCACTTTTCTGTGAGGGCAATTTACTGATATTTTGCAGCCAATTTGTTTTTCGAATAAATATATTTTTCAAAACTGAAGAAAAAATGGAACATTTTTCAACGAAAATTCCATCCAAAAATGTTTCTCTTGTATGTTCGAATTTTTATCTACGGTTGATTGATGCGAAAAATTCCAACTTATTAATGCGGATATATATATGCTTCCTTCACCAACGGGGTAATGTTACTTTTTTGTATCAAAATGCGGTCTCAATTCGAATTGGACGTTTTCTAATTACAAAGTGGAATAAAAAATCCCTATAGAATACGACGGCGAAGTTCAGGTGGAAGAATACAGTTGGCGTTAGAGGTCTCTTCTCGTGAAGCCCCTGAAGTATTCATAGTAGATATGAAGATCGGGATGATGCGGCTTCTGTTTGGTCGCAGTCTCCTTCATCTTTATAGTGCTAGTTCGGCCTCGTTTTCGCAACTTGGTTGGCCGTCAGGGATACCTTGAAGAGCGTACCTAGTACTGTGTTCTCTGCCATAGTATTCATGATTTCAGCATGGAACCATCGACTTGAAACATTTCCTAACGTCTCGCCGACATCGTCAGTGTGAGGTGCCATCTTTAGCATAGTTACAACTTATCAGTGACAGATGGAAGCAGTCCCTTTGAACCGTTCAACGAAGTCAAACCAACATCATAAGAGGTACAATTTGCTAACCGCAGTTGCGGCTATGATTGCCTGGATAGAAAATAACTGTAATACTATGTAAGAGCTCATCACCTGGTACTTTGTACTTCGATAACTTATTAGACCTCCAACCCTCTCTTCCCTTCATTATTAGACAATGAGCGGACCACTTCGGGGACTGGCCGAAGATAGGTTGAAAAATGTAATAATTCTTAAGCCAAGCAATTGGGATTGCAGCAAAAAATGCGATCTGACGAAATCTCACGAAGCAAGGTTTTAGGATCGATTTAATTTTTAGACGTAATATATCCCAAGATCTTAATTATATACCTCTGAATACAAAAGTATCTAGTCTCTTCTAATCCAAGTTTGTAAGAAGGAAGCCTAAGGAAGAATTTTTCTGAAATGTGTAAATCTAAAGTTATAACCTAGTACATAATTTATGGGCTGTGCGGGCCAAAGCAAATGTAGAATTAACATATCCAAGTTGCTTAAGGGGATTAGCGGTGCAGTAAATGTAATCTAGGTTTAGAAAACGCCTGCATAACCAAGTTTATACCCAACATATTTAATGGGAACACGAACGCACAATTATTCATAGCAGGGATCAGTTAGTGTTGATTGTCATGAATCTAAATTTCGATCAACCGTTATCCGCCACAGGGATACTAGATATATAAACCGTGCCGAATCATAAAGATGGCTTGATGACTTAAGGGAATCTTGATTTAGACTTAGATCTATCAATTTATCTAATACTCGGAATTGTCTAGTAAGAGGCAGAAAAATGATCGCAGCCAACAATATATAGAAAATAAGTACTGGGTATAACAAACGCATGCTCCCAGAATAAAAATTGATTATCAAACGAACACAAGAAACATTTATAGACGGGATTGGTTTCCTTTGCTCATGAGGCCTTATAGGACGATTTTTTATTATAAAAGCAAATTATATGAAGGATAGGGCACGAGGAGCTACATTAGGTACCTCATGAGAAAGAACTTCCATGGTTTTGACGAGCTTAAGATAAGGAAATTAGTGATTTAGTAGCTTTACGCCGTCAACCTGAGATTAATAAAAAAAATATTTGAAAGAATAACGGACAGATAGTTTGATGCGGCTCTACACGTGCACAACTGACCACTAAGATTAAATATGATAAGAAAAAGCAAATAAAATTTCTGAGAGGTTTTCCGGAGAATAAGATAACCCAGCAGGCAATCGGACCTTAAGCTTTATATCAAATAATAATCAGGAAAAAATAGTTAAAAGTTGTTCAGCATGAGGTAGCAACTCTCTTAAAACAGACACTAATTGATTTTTGGAACAAAGAACATGATCTAACACAAAATAGTAAAGTGACAAAAAACCGGGGCCTCAAGTTAAGCATGGGCCGAAACGTCGAAGCGCTTTAAACAGATAAAAATATCCTTGATTGTCATATGCATCATTTTAACAAATAATGTTAGAAAAATAAAAATAAATAAATATTGTACGTGTGGCGATAACTGGTAAACACTTTTAGCGAATTCGGAAACCGCGTGCTTCAGCTGATGCCTGTGCCGCGGCAGTGCGCTGTCAAATCCTATACTGCGTATGGGTTCATATATGTGATCGGCTTCCTTTCTGGTTCCTTATTTTTTTTGCATTCTTATTATCGTTCCACTAATGTCTACTCTAATCCGTATGGTCAATTCACCTTACCTGAGGGCTTTCACTTTGGCTTTAATAAAACTTTTAAGCCTACCAATTGGAGTGAAAAAGAGCTTCATGGACATTTAGGTAGGCTCATATACATATCCGCCTTAGTAGTTTGTGTTTATATGCTTTTTAAATTTAGGATAAAGACATATTTTTTCTCATAATTAAAGTGATATCATCATCTTAATCCTTTAAAAATGTTCTTCATCTTAATTTGAGTATTTTATACTGCTTACCTATATTTTTCTCTTCCGACCTGAAAAATATATTTTTAACCCGTAATATGTTCTTTCTGTCGCATACAAAATTCATTCATGGTGTACTCTTCAGCAAGCTCGCATTTTCTTACGATATCCTTGCATGCCTTGCATTGTATATATAGATAAGGT